AGCAGCAACCTGGGTCAGAGCCGTGAGAACATGACCTATACACAAAGCTGATTGATGGCCAATTAGTTCATTGACCTCTGAGAAATAAATGAGTAACAGCAATTAATAGGGCTACCTCAACCACACTGTGCCAGCTGTGATTGCCTCTGCATGGCCCCTTGGTCCCAACAATTCAGAAACTCCAGGAACTGACCTTAGTTGCTTAAGTTGTTTGCTTATCTGCTGCATCTTTCAATTTATCTCACAACAAATTGTTTAATAGGGTGTAAATCTCTTGGCTGGAGGCAGTAGAGCAGTAGTTAGGATTCCAAACCTCAGAAGCAAGCAGGCAAAGATGCCATGCCAGTGTTACTATCATCAGAGGACCCTTGGACAAATTAACTTTTTGTTAGCCTCAATTTTCCTACCTGTAAAATAGAAGTACACCATCTACATTGGAGAGTACTGAGTGAGGTAAAGTGACCTAATGTCTGCCTTGTTATCTTCAGGGCAGAATGAATCGCTTTCACTTTATGAGGCAGTCCACTCTGTGTATTGCTCATATTTAGGCATGGGTTCCTCCACCTCAATACTTTTGATACGTTGGGCCAGGTAATTATTTGTTGTGGGGTCAGTACTGTGCATTGTAGCATGGGATTTAGTGGCATCCTGACCTCTACTCTCTAGTCAGCAGTAGCACCCTTTCCCCAGTTGTGACAACCAAAAATGTCTCCTGATAATGCCAAATGTCTTCTGAGGGAAAAAATATCCACCAGCTGACAACCACTGTTCTAGCATTTTCTAGATGTTTCTAGATGTTTCTGGGACTCCAGAACATCATAGCACTAGAATTACTTTTTTGGAAACTTAGTCATTGGTTCCTTTGTAGTGTCACGTTGTTGAGTTTCTTTTTTCAATGGCCTTAATGGAAAAGTTGTGTCGTCTGATAAAAATTACTCATATCCTTCTGCTGTAAGCATTAATTTCTCTCTATATAAATATTTTAAAATGTCTTTTTGTCATCAGGAGGATAGCAGGCTGATATGGTTTGGCTCTCCTCACCCAAATCTCATCATCCAATCACCTCCCGTTTGGTCACTCCCTCAAGGTTTACCCCATGCTGTTAACCCCATGCTGTTCTCCTAATAGGTGGTTCTTATGAGATCTGATGGTTTAAAAGTGGTGGTTACCCCTGCGATCTTCCTCTCTTCTGCTACCGTGAAGAAGGTACTTGCTTCTCCTTCACTTTCTGCTATAATTTTAAGTTTCCTGAGGTCTCCCCAGTCATGTGAAACTGTGAGTTGGTTAAACCTCTTTCCTTTATAAATTACCCAGTCTCAGGCAGCTCTTTATAGCAGCGTGAAAACAGACGAATACAGAGACCATTAGCAAAGCCAAACTTACGTATGATACCATTTGTGAGTTTATAAATTACCAAATTAGCCCTCACAGTATTTGTGAGGTCTGAATTCTAGCTGCGCCTTTTGAGCTTGAGCCACTGCAAGCTCCTCTGGGGATACCCTTTGATGGGTGGTCAACAGACTATAGAATTCAAATATCCTTCTAGTAAATCTATGGTCCTCAAGTTCCTGGTTGACCGAGACAGGGAGGAATGATAATAACTACTATGGTTCATTGAGTACTTAACATGTTCTCGGCCCTCTTCTAGGATCTATAAATATTTATCTTATTTACACCTTACCATAAAATTATACTCATTATAGACAGGAGGAAACACATTCAGAAGGTCTGTTTAATTGGCCCCAGCTACAAATGTAGTGGCGATTCCGGGACTGACACCCAGACCACTGAATTCTACCACTGCTGTCTGCATTCTCACTCAACTCTGGGCTATGCATACACTTCTCTACATCACCAGTTCCTTGCATGATACTTGCCGTTATGTTGATGTTTACTAAACGTTGCACAGCAAAGAAGGAAAAGACGAAGGAATGAAGGAAGTCTCTACTCTAGCTCCAGAGTTCTAGTGATAAATGGATTAATCTTTGAGATCTCTGAATTGCTGGGACAAAAGGATAATAGATAGCAATTATACTATAATATTCACATTTCCAATTTCGATAACATTAAAAAGTTTTGGGAAGTGTTTATGTAATATTTATCTCATGTAATTGTCAAGATATTTCTTGTGTAGAGTACAGGTCATAACTGTGGTCACTTGCCAGAGAGTGACCAGAACTACAACTTCATTCTCTAAACTTTTAAACTTTGTGAAAAGAGAAGGAAGAAAGAGATGAATACATTATGAGTTGACAGCGGGCACAAGAACACTTTATCAAAAGTTTTTTTTTACCATACCACAAAGATTCAAAAGAAACCAAGAAAGGAGAACTAATTCTGTCTTTCATACGCCATGCACAATGATTTGTAGTAACTGCCTGTCAGCAGCCAAAGGAAAAGATTACAAGCGCCCTCCTTGATCACTTCTGCTTTTCTGAACTTTCTCTTCCTGGATTTCTTTTCATAGTAAAAAAGTTTAAATAGGGGTTTTTTTTTTCACTTCTCTTATTTACCTTCCTCTGTTCCTTAAAAACAAATGACACATTAAAAAAAAAAAAAGAACAGAAAATATCTCAATATTATTGTGAGGTATACTTTTTATAAGCAATGTAGAGTTCTTCTAGATAGTTCCACCCAGACCACTTGATTTTATTTCCACATAACTTCATGAAGTGCTTCCTTTTAGAAAGCAATACCGAAGCTAGTCAACCACACTGACAGGAGTTTGTAGAATCTTTATTTACTTCCAATGTGTTGCAATTGTGGCCCAAGCTGAATCAACAACTATGATGTTGACCAAAATACATCAAATAGAAAGCATTGAGCAATGATCTGAAGTATTCTCTTTTTGGAGTTCTCTTGCACAGGCTTTCTTAATACTGAAAGCCACTGAACATGTATGCCCCTATACATTTAAATATTGTAAACCTAGTTAACTTACACAACATTCCGTTTCACTTTTTCCTTTTCATTAACGTAAAAAAGAACTGTTTTTTGTGTTGTTTTTTTGTTTTGTTTAAAAAAGAAAAAAAACCCAAGTGACCTTTTAGAGATTTCTGGTGCGCTTTAAGAAAAATGGACACTGGAACCTATTGACACAAACTAAAAAATTATGTTTCTGTGAAAACTGTTCAAACGGGCCACCCAGAAATCTGAAGAAAAAAAAAAATTTAATGGAGCCAAGGGACCCTATGTTAAATGTGCTTGCATTAAGCAACAAATGCTTTTTTGAGAGTCTGACTGCAATAATAATTATAATAATTATCCTGCTGATGATATAGTTGAGTTAGTATTTATCATCATGGGAGGGTAAGTCCCTTACTCAATGGATGAAGAAGCTCCTCCTCTGGTTAGTTACATTTCCCTTGATTCCTGCTTCCCTGAAGGTGGGAGGTAATCCTCGGCTGCCAAACTGTGCTTTGAGTAGTGGGACAGCAAGGCATGGAGTTCATGTGTGCTTCCGCTACAGATTCACTCAGACAGCCTCATCAGGACACAGCTGCCCTCCCTCCCAGCAGAGGGGGACCAACTCCCTCACATAGGGAAGATCTGCTGGATTTGCATTTTGCATTTTTAATTCTAAGGATAGAAGCACCTCTGTTTTTCTTTCGCCTTCCTTCAAAACTTTTAAATTATAATTCACCATCATGTCTGTAACTATTCATTAATTATCCCGAGTCCCTCCTATGTTTATTATTTTGACAATGTTTCGGACAGTATTAACAGGTTAAGAATTATTGTTAAAGCTATGATTACTTTATTTATGGTCATTGTATAAAAATTACTAGCTGAGAAAGATTATATGTTATGTATAATTATCATTCGTAGTCACAGGCTTCAAGGAAAACTTAGAACAGAATGTATGTATAGATTCCAAAAGCGTCTTCGAAATTTCGGTATATGTCGGCCACAGTGATTTTTAAGCAGAAGAAAAGGTCTGACTTTTTAAACACTGTCCATTAAGATAGTGACATTTGTTATAAGAGTTTTAATACCGATTCCCATTTTCTGCCCTTTAAATGTACAAGTTAATGATTTTCTTGTGTGTACTTAAACATTGAGATTTGTTCTAAAATCTGAGCACCTCTTTGAATATTAAAAATAGAATTAAAAGGTGGTGTAACATTTAACTTTCATTTTATGCAGCATGTAGCCAAGGACATTTTTAGAGCAGTTAATATATGCCAAGGGTTACTAAGATCAATAGTACAGAAGCACAATCTGCCCTTGGTCTAATAGTGTAGCGGGACATTTCAGAGCCATTTGTACAACGCTAACTTGATTGTTGATTTGAAAATGTATTTATTGAAGTACACCTGTTAAACATCAAGCCATTGAGAGAGAGCCATATCACTATTTAAAAAACCAAACCACCGGGTCATAAAATGGGGAGTAAATAACTGAAACAGGCTTATTGCTACCACCCCAGGATCCAGGGATCAAATAGGAACTGTTGGGGATTTCCCTGCTTTTTCATAACCTACAAGGCATTTTTCTCCCTCAGTTAGTGTATATGGGTATGTGTTCACGTAAACTGATATCTGATAATATTGATAAAGCAAACAGATTAACAGATCAGACCTGCAGCTGACAGTGAGTCTGTTGCTTCAGTAAGAAACTCATCTAAGATTCCTGTGCTTTTTGGAAACTTAACCCCTCCAGTTTCCAGTTAATCATAAGATTCATAGAGGGTGTCAAGTAGGCACAGAGCAAATAACAAAATGTAAATTGAAATAGGATGCTGGGATGCTAAAGGACATTCAAAGAGAGTCCTGGAGGAGTTTAAGGCAAGATCCCAGGTCACACTGATATCATTTCTATGGTGAGATGGACCCAGCTCCCTTCACTGCATTCTAATATGTTACATTAAAAGAAGTAGCAACAGTTGACCACAGCTTGAAAGACCATTGATTCATTCTGCAAAAGTGAGAAAAATCAAAGAAAGTTTAGATTGACTTGATAAATAAAAGAATAAATGATGAAAACTGTCATCTGGTTACCTTATTAAAGATGAAGCGTGACACAGAAACTGCTGGTGGACTTGCTCAGCTGATGGCAGCCTTCCTGCTGTGCACAGGGAAGGAAGAGTTGTGCCACCCTGGCCAGGCTGATCCTCTTGAGGTCGAGGCGCCTGGGTTTCCGTCAAGCTCTGAGTACTACATGTGTGAGGAGTCCTCAGGTTCTCTCCTTGCTCTGTGAGTCACTCCCATTGTGACACAACGTGATGACTAAATCTCTTCTGAATAGCTCATAAAAGCCAAGAAGTTGTAGCTCACATGTTTCAAAAGGAATCAGAAGTATAAATTTAGCCACTTTTAGAAGAGACTTAAAAATGATTAATAACGTTCATTTTATGATGAGTACAATCTCTTGACCAAATTCAGCAGCAGAGATAACATAACATAGAAAAATTTTGTAGACCGCCTGGTGCATTGTTTTGATACTTTTCAAATTATGATTATTATTCATAATCTCCATTTTTCCCCTTCCTGTTAGCATGTCTCGGCTTATATAACACTCCTTCCCTCCTAAGAGAATAAGTAGGAGAAATCATTCTCTGAGATTTGTGTTACCGTTTTTCTTAAGATTGGTGAACAAGGAGATAAAAACAATCATAATAAAATGAGATTTTAGAATTACTTATGGGTCTTAATTTACGTTTTAAGGTATGATGAGGAGAGCTTACTAAAGTGGTCTCTGGAACTGAGACCACTGAGGATAGGAAAGGATGCCTCCTCCCTCCCAGAGTTTGTCTGTTTCAGAGTTGATTACAGTTGACCTGGCATATCCTGGGACCGCAGTGGAAAGTATTGAGGCTGCAGGTGAGGAGGGGAAGAGATGTGCTAATATCTTCCATGTAGCCTGCTCACCACTCACCTAACTCACCACTGTAGCCACATAGGCAGGTACGCATGCCACTTGGCTGATTTTTCGTTTTCAGTTTCCTTGTATACCAGTTTATTGCCATACTCTTCAGATTTCCCAAGCTCTATATTCCTTCTTTGAAAATTGTAGTTATTATGGTTCAGCTGGAATGATCATACGAATGAACATACCTGTCTAGGTGTAGTCTAGACACTGCCATTACCCATTAAAATAAGTGGGGATCTTTTTTCTTCAGAAAAACAAAAAACCAAAATGAAATTTACTCAGGTGCTCATTTAGAGTGCCCCAAATGTGCTAAATATACTTTTTTCTCTTTAACATTTTGCAAGTATGGCTTAAATATAAAACCTCACAGATAAATAGTACATTGACTTAAATCCACACAAAGAAAGGTGTAAATAATTAATATTGAACCTTTCCTGTGAGCATGTTATTGTCAGTGAGAGGTGAAGAGAGCCTCATGCACCTGGGTGGTCATGGAGTATTAACTGAAAAGGGCAAAGAAAAGGTTATAACAGTAAAGTTTTGCTTTCTTAATAATCTTGCCTAGTGCAGCCCTGTTTCAAAAACTTTCCAAATAGACTTTTAAAAAATTAAATGTTTAGACTGATTTGCATATTGGAAATTAGAATTCTTTTTTTTTTTTTTTTTTGGAGATGGAGTTTCGCTCTTGTTACTCAGGCTGGAGTGCAATGGCACAATCTCGGCTCACCACAACCTCCGTCTCCCAGGTTCAAGCACTTCTCCTTCCTCAGCCTCCCGAGTAGCTGGGACTGCAGGTGCACACCACCATGCCCAGCTAATTTTTGTATTTTTAGCAGAGACGGGGTTTCACCATGTTGACCAGGATGGTCTCGATCTCTTGACCCCTTGATCCACCTGCCTTGGCCTCCCAAAGTGCTGGGATTACAGGCGTGAGCCACCATGCCCAGCCAGAATTCTTGCTATCTACTGGCTTGTCCCTCAATTCCAATGGGCCCAACTCAAGGGTTCAGTTTCAGTATATTGACACCACAATTGGAACACGCATTCCCCTTGTCCAGTGGCCCCAAGTAAGTGATCAGTTAATGAAATCATTTGTTAGCAGTGTCTTATCCAGACTGTAACTATATACACATTCAAATTCACATCTCAACTGCTAAGTTGTCTTTCATTTCACCTCTTAATATGCAACCTTTGAAAGTACTACCTTGTTCATTACTCTTCCTACATTGAGTTCAGATCAAAGATCACATTAAAAAAAAGTACAGAGCCAAATTGCCATTTGAGGTTTTTTTCCTAGTTCCTTTTTAAAACAAAGGATTGCACTGTGGATTTTAATTTAATGTTTGTAGGTGGACTGTAAGTATACAGTGGTAAGGCTAGATGCCATCATAGACAACACACTAAAGATAGAGTTATCCTTTTTCTTCTAAACCTGCATGCCTCCCATCTTGCTACCCAAGAGTGCCTTCTCCCCGCTTTTCCAAATGCCAACAAGTAGGAGGAAAGTCAGATCCAAGGCTGTCTCAGGTGACATACGTCAGACTTCCTGCAACTGCCCTGTTCTGGGGATGGTCTAAGTCAGAAAATTCGAAGATGAGCTTTGACTGGAGAAAAGCACTTACTCTGGTGTGCAGGCTGTGGTGGGTCCAACTCCTGGAGTGTATCTGGTGTCACTCTTGTAGGGCTGATGGGCAGGGTGAGGCTGGTGATGGAGCAAACGTTGTGGCCTCTTCCTTCTGGCATAATCGTGTAATCCTCTCTCCCAAGTCACTCTCAGTGGAATGTGTTTCTCTGAATGACTATGAACTGGTATAAAGACTTCATGCTTTAAAAGTGTACTTTGTATTTTCTTCCTCCTCCCTTTGTCAACAGGCAGTTCTCTTATTTCTATTATAGAGGGAACCGTCCATTTGTCCCCTTTTTATACAAACAATGCCTTTGACATTTAAGTAGCTTCTTTGTAGCTAGGCTTGGTCAAAACTAGGAGCTTTGTTATTGATTTGGCTTTTCATGGCTCTACCAGCTGTAAGATGAAGCTGGGCTAATCTTTTGTTTCTCTATACTAGACAATCTTTAGATATACAAACAGTTAGGGACCAGGTCATGGGAACATTTGGTGGGTTCTTTAAATAAAGATTTTTCTTATTTGCAGAACACATATCCTTTTAGCTTACCCAACAAGAGGTCCTCAGTTGAAAAGTGAGGTGAGAAGTATTATATTGGGGATTATTGTTCTGGTAGATGGAGCGAGAGAGAAGATGGACGAGAATGAAAGTAACAAATGAACAGAAACACTGTGGATTTCCAGCAACAGGGAGACTTGCAAGAAGGAAAGATGAAGGCTTATGAAGAAAATATGTTTATCACAGCAGGAGGGAAGTGGGTGTTCCTTTTGGTATGACCATCACATGTGGAGCATTAAAAGTTTTCCTACCTTAAGAATGATCTTCCTGCTAAGTTTCCTAGTTTGCTTTCAATCCCAGGCAAGTTCTTTTCCCCAGAATCTTATATGATAAAATATCAAATGAAATTAAGAGCAGATGCTAGATGCAGCCAATTGTGTAATACGCAAGAACTATCCAGTAAGAAAGAACTCATGGGGATTCATGGAGTGGGGAGGAGTGAGTTAGAGACAACTGTCTTCAGACCCTGGTTTGGGGTGTTCTGGACTTTGATTCTTTGTGAGGTCTATGTGGCTAAAGAGATTCAGAGATGAACAGAAAGGGACCTTTCTATTAGGGATCATTCACTGTTAGCTCATTTATTGCTGAGAAAGGAATCTCATAGAGCTTTCCCCTCTCCTTGAAGAACCCCTGATCCTTGCTGGCTCCTTGTGACTAAGATTGAGTGGAGAAAGGTGATCTCTTCCTTTGCTGGTGGATATGTAAATTGCCACAGCCTTTTTTGAAAGCTGTCCAGAGAAAAACATCTGTTAAAATAAAAAGCTGCTATTTGAGACAAAAATCCTACTCCTAGAATTCTGTCCTGTATAAATGTATATAATAGTGTAGGAACAGGATGGGACAAAAAGAACTGGGAGCAAAGCAAGTACTCACTAGTAGTGAGATAACAGTAAATTGTGGTACACATGCGCAGTGGAACATTATTTTGCAGCCACTAAATACAACACACTCAAGCTCTGCTATTTGACTTGGAAGGCTTTCCATGACCTCATTTTTGTAAAGCAAACTCTGTGCATGTGTGAAGATATCTATGTGAACATGGAGAAAAATATGAAGGGAAAGTGGTGTGTACTCTGTTTTTCATAACGGTTATTTGTGGATATAAGGTATGGGCAAAACAAAGGCAGGGATGAGGTAAAAGAAAAAAGAAAAAATATTTTTAAAAAACTACACTGAAAATGATAGGATCTGACACAAAAAGGAAGGAAAAAGTCCAGCCTTCCACCCAACCAAAAAAAGCCCCAAAGCAAAAAAAAAAAAAAAAAAAAAAAAACCTGAATCTAATGGGGACTTTACATCCAATGACCAATTCACAGGAAAAACAGAGAATAAAGGAAAATTGCAACTATAATCATCAAAGCAGCCAGGGATTCTGAAATACAAACAAGTTTATTTATTCAATAGATATAAACCACACACAAAAAATGGAGAGGGAATACGAAATGTTCTCACCTGTAAGTGGCAGCTAAACCATGGGCACATGTGGACACAAAGGTGAATGTAATAGATACTGGAAACTCCAATGGGGAGAATGGAGGGGGATGAAGGTTGCAAAATACCTTTTGAGTACAATGTTCAGTATTTGGGTGATGAGTACATTAGAGGCCCAATTCCCCCATTGTGCATGTAATGCCCATGTAACAAACAAGCATAAGTAACCCCTGAATCTAAAACAAAACAACCAGAGAAAATGAAGGAACAAGTTTTAAAACAAGAAATCTATTTATGGCAATGTTTATGACATAATTATAAATTTAAATAATGGATACTTGATAATTAAGGAATTATTAATTTTTCAGACATGCTGATAACATGGTTATTTATAAAAGAGTCTTTATCTTTTAGGTCACTTACTTACCTAATTAACCTAAATATTAATGAAATATATAATTATCTGTTATTTCAAAATAATAAAGCACTGTAAGGAACAGATAAGGGTGTGGATGGGCAGGATGACCCACGGGTTGTTGGCAGGGCTGATGATATGTACATTGGCATTCATGATACTATTCTGTCTACTTTCGTGTATGTTTTAAGTATTCAATTATAAAAAGTTTAAAATATGACATGACCACACCTTGTTATTTACACAGAATATTTTAATATATGTATTTTTTA